GTTGTGTTGTTGTAATCATTATATTATATTTTTACAAAACAAATCCTCAACTTATGATTAGTTTTAAAGAAGCAAATTCAAATCTTTAATTTCAATCATTTATTTAAATGTTTGTGCTTTAAACGAGCGAATCAAGAGAAAAACTTAGTTTGCTCACAACATATGTTGACAACAAATTTTAAATATTGCTTCAACAAATCTATTGTCTTATTATTAACATTTATTGCATTATTACAATTCAATCATTATATATAAAGTGATTGAATTTGATTCATAAAACACTTAGTATTGGCAAAAATGTACTGAATGTTGAGAATTGATAATAAAATTTGATTGTTCAAGGTGCCAATCATGACACTGTAAGATACTGTAAGAAAATATGCTTCCAAATACGGATTATTAAAATGACACATAATAAAAATGACACTTTCATAAATTGATAATTATCAATTTTGTTGAAATGAGTGAAATAATAGAGGAATTATTGAAATTATATTTCATATAAATCGTAGTGAATTATAGATCAGTGAATCGGTGGATGTGATGGCAGACCCCGTATGGTTGGCCAACAATAACCTCACTTCAGTCTTATTGAGAGACTCTTTCGGCTCCACTCATGAGATCGATTCATTGGATGCATTTGGACCCGGATTACAGGCATTCCTTATCACTCTGTACTCATTGACTACATTTCTAGCGTTTACGGGAAACAGTTTAGTCATTTTGGTTGAACTTTACGGCAAGAGGTCGGCCAGAAATCTACGCAAATTTCTCATCAATTTAGCCATTTCTGACATTTTGATTGGTGTCCTATCGGTTCCCTTCATTTACACCGACTTTATGCTCGTAAGCAACATATAAAACATTTCTAACATTTCATGTCCTATACATCTGTATACCGTATTAACATTTCTATATTATTATCATCACATTATTTTATTGTATAATTAGGTGCTTGTTCAATCAGGCAATACCAGTATTGAAGTAGTTTCACTCACAAAACACTCTACATTGTATAGTATAAGACCACTTGAATGAGCAGTCGATTCACAGGCTTTAGATCACATGCCTTCATAACTCACTAAAACATCATTTCACTATTTATTTACACAATTCATAAATGTATTTTTATCATGGCTAATTCATTTCAAATTTCTTGTTTTGTATTTCTAAGCTTAGATTAGATTAGATTAGATTTTTTATATTTGATCAAATAATTAACTTAAGTATATTGTGAAATGAGATAGTTTATTGTACTTTATTTAGCATATTACAGAATATGAGTTAAGAATATATCAAAAGATGACTAACTCTATGAGTAATATGAATACAAATACTAATAGACGTCTAGCTAGTGATTTGAATGCTATACAATCATACAATCATACAGTCATACAGTGATATTGCAAGCAGGGTTTAAGTGACTCTTTTATTTATCGCCCTTTCATATATAAATGCGATGTTTCACACATTCAGGTTTTATTAATATTATGAATATTAACATAAAAATAAATTTTAATTGAATCATTCAATATATATTCTATATATTCAAAAATTATAATAAGATTTATGTTTTCAAAAAATGGACTCTGTTGTATTAATTGTCTTATCATTTATATAATGTTAATACACATTGAAGGGTCGTTGGATTTTCAGTCCTATTTTGTGTCCGATCGCACAGTTCGTACAATTGCTGTCAGTATTTGTCACAACATATACTCTAACGGCTATTGGAATTGAAAGGTATGTTATATTCATATACTGTACTTATACTGTAAAACAGTATTATTATTAAAACTTTCCAATATATTTTATTATAATACTGTATATTATTTATATTGTTTAAAAATATATAATATTAACATTATCTAACATTACAATTGATAATATTATTTATGTTAATATTTAGTTACTTTCTATTTTGTTTAATTAATTTAATTTAAATAATATGTATCATGTTACATGATTTATAATACAATTTAAATACAAGAATATTGAATAATTGATAAACAATATAAAAGTAATTTTAATTGAGGTAATATTTTAATAGCCAAACAAATAATTTATTGTATAACACAAAAGAACAAGATCAATTTAATAAAAATAATATTTATTCAGGTTTTAACAAATAGCGAAACAAATATTAATAAGTCTTGTTCATAGTTAATGTGTTGAGTATTTATTTTATAATGAATTTTAACATTGGAAGTAATTTTAGAAAATATTATTAACTAGAAAAACATATGAAACAATTTATGTAATTAAATAGTTTTATAAAAATAACTGTCATTTATTTAACTCAAAATAAGAATTTATGAGAATACAAGTGATTATCATTGAATCAGTGAACAGTATAAAAGTGAAACAAGTTTGAACAATTTGTTACGAATCTTGTTTTTTGAATTAAACACAAATAGCATTCATTTATAGGTAAGAGACGTAAATACAGTTTTTCAAACCAGTTGTACTGTAATTATCAGGGTTATCAGTTATGTTATTTTGTAATACATATAACATTACTTATTGTATTGTACAGAACATGTTACTTATATTTGGGTTCAACGGTAATAACTTATTACTAATAAGCTTACATTTTAATATAATTATGAATTGGCAATATACAGTAAAGTATTGGTCATTTCCAATAAAGACTTTCAGTTTGTCTTTTATAATATTCTCTAAATATTACGTTAGATTAGTAAATACAAAGTACTTGATATACAATTATCTGTAAGTGCAATTATAGTTTGTTTTGTTGATTTTAATGTACAGTATTATAGATGAATACGATAATTAAAATTATTCATGTTGAGAAAGGAGTAAGCTTCTTTCAAAATAGTAGGCTGTAATCAAATTCACAAATAGTCTTTTACTAGATTAATCGTTTAAAACTAAATAACACCTAGTTTACTATATTTTAAATATTTGGAATTAGTTTTAACCCCTTAAAAACTACATTCCAACAATGCACTTATTTCACACTTACTATATAATTAGCTGGCACACAAATCAGCGCAATAATAAATAATTCAAAAAGTAGAAATTGTATACACTGTGTAAAACAAATTTTTGGACAATTTAATTATATAAATTATGGTTATAGAAATTGGTTATAATTTACAATTTGAGTTTAAGGTTCAAAATTGTGTTAATTTAGTATCTTAATTTTGTTAACTATTTAATTAATTTAGTTCAAAATTTAGTAAATTTAGTTCACTATTTAGTTAATTGGATTCAGAATTTAGTTAAATTAGTTCAATATTTAGTTAATTTGGTTTAATTATTAATTAGTCTGAACTACTTAAAATATCCAGTTTGAAAAGGTTTAAAGTTGGCAACCCTAGAGAGAGAGAGAGAGAGAGAGAGAGAGAGATCAAGTGAATGTATTGGTTTGAGTTTGAACAAATTATTAAACAATTAGATGACTATATTAATTTTTTAGTTAAAATTTCAATATTTTATATAATTTCAAAAATATTTTTTTAATAATAAGATAAAATAAAATTTTATTTTGCTAAATAACGTTTTTACAATTTGAACAATATTCATTTGATAACAGTATTATTTGTTCGATATTATGTCAATATGTTCATAATTAATAATTATATCAAAAATATCATTTATTTATTAAAATATTTTTTATTTTACATTTTTTTAAAAGAAGGATTATCACAAACTTATGTTTAATAAATTCATGAAATATATTAATAGATAAGTAAATCCAAATAATACCAAATTGTAAGAAATAATACCAATGACAATGTATTGAGTTTAGTGCCGTTGTATTCTGTATTTCATTGTTAAACTAAATAGCGATATGCAAAGAATTGATGTTATAGTGTATTAATGTTCAGTATATACTGTATTGTATCAGTAGTTCTAATTAATTAGTGCTTATGAACTGACAATAAAGTTACTGAAAAATACTTATATTATTAGCGAATTTCTTTGAAAACAGAAATTAATGCATTAAATGGTTGAATGAATGGTTACAATATTATTGTAATTTGTGACAAAAGGATGATTATATGGTGAACCATACAAAGCATTCAATATTTATCCAATAATCATACCGCTTTAAAGCACCAGTGCTATTTATTAAATTATAAATATGGTATTTTGGTCTAGCCTTATTATACAACATTTTAGGCTAAACATATACTTTAGTTAGTATATTATGCTAGTTCATGTTATTTCTATTTAAGCACTTTTACTAAATAATTCATTGCTTCTATTATTAAATATATTCATTATACCGTATATTCTAGCAAGAACATTAATGATATAAATATTAACAATGAGTCGAATTATTCATTTCCATTAAATAGTTCAATATAAAAATGTCTTTTTATTCTTAAATTATTATTCAAAATTATTCAACAATTGAAAATAATTACCAAACATAGTGCCATACATTTTTAACTATTTTCTTTTATTGAAGTGGCAAGATAAAGCCCTATCATAATAAATGGATGGATATATACTTGTTATTTTAATAAACATTTGGATTTAATAGCAATTCATAAAGTTGTTGTGGTCTTAGGCCTTTGCATTAATTTCTGTTTTCAAAGAAATTCGCTAATAATATAAGTATTTTTCAGTAACTTTATTGTCAGTTCATAAGCACTAATTAATTAGAACTACTGATACAATACAGTATATACTGAACATTAATGATATAAATATTAACAATGAGTCGAATTATTCATTTCCATTAAATAGTTCAATATAAAAATGTCTTTTTATTCTTAAATTATTATTCAAAATTATTCAACAATTGAAAATAATTACTAAACATAGTGCCATACATTTTAAACTATTTTCTTTTATTGAAGTGGCAAGATAAAGCCCTATCATAATAAATGGATGGATATATACTTGTTATTTTAATAAACATTTGGATTTAATAGCAATTCATAAAGTTGTTGTGGTCTTAGGCCTTTTGTACAATATATTTTATCCAAATGTTAATATTGTTTTGCAATATATTTGAGTTTACGAGTTAGACACAACCATTTGAGTTGTTAACAAATCTTTTAAACATTGCACATTATTTTAAAGATAACTTGGAAAATAAAAATTAAGATTTTCGAGACTCAAATCGTTATCCTTAAGCAAATATACTGTACAGTAATTATTATAATCTTCAAGTTTATTAATTTTCTAATAGAATTTTAATAGAAATATAATAATTACATTTCAATATTAACCTGAACATTTCAATATAAATTTCATTATATTTTTTTCTTAATAATATGATTAATTAAGTTGTGTAATAATCTATTTATAAATTAAACTTAAATTAGTAATATAAGTTAATTTAACTAATAAATACAGAATAGTATACATTATAACAATTAAATAGTAACTTTTTTATTTTTTTGCCAAATTTTATCGTGTAAAAACTTACAAGATGACATTCAAACCATAATGTATAGCTAAATATTAAACGTAATAATGGTTTAAATGTAATTAATTATATAAATAATATACTGTACAGTTATATAGTATTTAGTAGTCAAATAATTTTATAGTAGTATATGGATATATGGCTATAACTTATAATGAATTGCCAGATATATCGCAACCCTACACCCCCTGTCCAACACCAACACGTGGTTGCGATCGCATTGTAATCTAATTCTGGAGATCGGATGGCTTTTCGGTGCAACACTCGCCTCAGTGGCTGTTATTCACACGAAAGCCGTTCCCTTCGACTTCAAGAATGAGACGTATTATGATTGTCGACAAGACGTCGGATGGACTGAAAGTGATGTCAAAGTTTATATTGTCTTCTCATTTGTCTTCACATTTGTATTACCAATGCTTTTCATAACCATCTCTTATGGAGCCATTGCTAGAAGACTATTGAAGTGTCCGTTTCTCAACACTTCTTCCGGTGTTTTCTATGATAAACGAAACACAGAGTTCATCAACAAAATGAAGGTATTATTCATAATCATAGCAATCAATTACAATACAATACATTCACATTCACTGAGAAGTGGACACTTATTCACTCACTGTTTATATCTTGGATCATCTAACAAACCCCAATTGAACAGTTATCATCAATTGACCTAGCTATTTGTTCACTCAATAACTCAATGTCAATACATACAGTATTATTGTAGTAGCATTTTATAATTCATGATCAGGGTAATTGAAGATAACTTTTAATTGGGGTTTGCAGTCTTAGATACTGTATGTTGAGTAGCTAAGTTGGGACATGAGTTATAAGTATTATAGATTGCTGATTTTAATGTTAATTAATAACTTAATACTGGTAATAGTAAAAATGTTTTTTATAACTATTATAACATTATAACATTTTTTATATCATTAGTTACTGTATATGAAATGAAAGTTAAATCGTATTGCTCTCTCAGATAAGATATACTGGTATACAATAGTATGCAAATGACTTATGTATTGCTTTAAATAAAAAGGTATTCAAAATGTTGGTTCTGGTGGTTATAATGTTCATCGGGTGTTGGCTCCCAATCAAAGTGTTTATGTTATTCCTGGCCTTTTGGCCCGAATTTGTTACGATTGACAATATATACGAATATTATTCTTATTACGGATTCTTCTTTGTCTGTCATTTCCTATCGATGGCCAATAGGTCTGTATATTGCCATCAAAACTATCAAATTTATTGAATACTTCAAATGAACTCAATGGCACTTTCATTGTATTAACTCTTTGTTCTCTATTTGCTTTCAATATAGTTTTGTCAATCCGATCATATACTGCTTTATGAGTAAAAGTTTCAGAGTAAGTCTTATTTTATACGCTATTACTTTTTTGCAATACTTTTATATTTTATATTTCATTTTCAAATAATCACACTGGTATTTATTACAACATATTAAACTACTATGAAAATAACTAAGGATATGTTTAATACCATTTTAATAGTTTCATATCTTGATAGCTGACTTATAAACTGATGTTATGATTTCCATGAAGTTTTCAAAATAGCCATAATTGAATTCTGCAAAAATTCTTTAAAATTATAATCTATAATTATATAATGTATATTTATTAGTAATTTTACTTTTTATTAAATCTAAAATCATTAATACTACTAATGTATTATTGTTATATGTTTATTAATGTCTGCAAGTTGATTATTAATGTACAAAAAAGTTAAGTTATCACTAAGAAGTTAATACTATCTATTATGCCATTAACTAACTCACAATTAATTGATGAAAAGTACATTTAATCAATTATACAATTATTGTAATTTTTGAGATTTTGACTTGCCATACATATCCATAATTTATAAGTATCAAATCTGTTGCACCTAATTCTATATATTTTATTAATTAAAATATTGTTTGAATTGTCATTTATCCAACTACAATATTGTAATTTTTGAGATTTTGACTTGCCATACATATCCATAATTTATAAGTATCAAATCTGTTGCACCTAATTCTATATATTTTATTAATTAAAATATTGTTTGAATTGTCATTTATCCAACTACAAAATTCTTTACCGGTAATCTATTTTAAAGTATCCTTGCACCATCATAACCTATTCAACATTTCTTATTATTCTTAAATATACCGTACATTCACAAAATAATATTCAGGCTGAGGGTTAAGGGGTCATGCCAATGATTATGTTACCATGCTAACTTCCTACAGTATGTATGATGGGGGAGAGGTTAATTTTGCGTTTGTACGTCAGGTATACTTAGTTAATTCAGGAAAATAAAATTAATGTTACTGAATAATGGATTTGCACTACCAGTACAGAGCCTTATATTAAACTTATTGAATCTATAATATAGATACAGAACAGTATTTTTAATTTTAAGATATTTAAATATACTGTACTGTATACAGTACTGGTTTAAAACAGATGATTTAAATATTTATATTGTTTTGTGCTTAATGTGCTTTTTTACACCATGCAACCTTACTGGGAAATGATTCTTACATAATCGATTACATTGTACAGTATATTGTATTATACTAATGTTAACCTACAGTTGTTCCATATAAGCAAACTTATATTAAATAGAATATTGTATTCACAAAAATTATTAACTGAAATTATTATGAATGCTTTTATTTAGTGTTTTATTTGACATACTGTATATATTGAACTAGAAATAGTAGTAATAATAGTATACCGTAATACACAGTAATTCACATAAGAATAAAGATTTGATTTGTCATTAGATTGGGGATAATATAAAGATCTTTTGGAAACATTTGCAAACATTGAGATAATTGATTGTCGTTTTGTATATTCTTAACAATAGAATCCATTTTGGGATTATCTCACAGATTAGGCATCACATAATAAGTTTTATATTAAATGTTGTTTACATTTAATAATTTCTAGAAATACATCAAATCTAATGCCATGAAGAGTAGAGAACTTTGATAGGATTGTCATTTTATTTGTAAAACTTTAATATAATTGGAGTCATATTTCTGTTATAACTTATCAAAAAGAAATGAAAGCACTATACAAAATAATCTTAATGTTTACAACACATCATATGATCCTATATCATATTTATGTAATATTTTTTACGAGGTATGCACTTACTGTACAGTATATAAATATGATATACACAACTTATTATATTAATGGCAACAACGGCAATAAGGGGGTTTTTCGTACATACGCTTTTACCCAACCCCTCTCCCCATTTAACATACGCTTTTGACATGACCCCCTCCCCTAGGCATGCGTACGTACTTTGTGAACACCGCCTAAGTCGTAAAATTTTTCCATTAAGATAATCATAAAACTATATTAGTTTTATGCAGGAATCACTGATATATTATATACTGTATGATATATGATATATTATGTAATGTATTTATACTGTATATCTTATTGACTACAGTTTTACAGTTTTGCATTTTAAACATCTAAAGAGTACATACCCTGAATATGCGGGTATAGTACTATGTGGCGTATAATACGCAGTCAGTAATTACGGAAAAATTATGTTTTTTGCTCGTATAATACGTGTCGGCGTATAGTACGCATAGACTGTAATACAGGGTTGTCACTAAACATGGAACCCATTTAGGAGGCTTGCCATTTGGACACCCTGTAATATTTTTGATTCCATTTCGAAGTTGTAGAGGAAGAGTTAGATTTTTATTTTAAATATAATTTGTCCAGATTATATTTGAAGAAAAACTTTTATACTCGATTTTTTCAAGAACAGTGGAAAATATTTTGTTATTTTGAGAAGTTATTGAATAGAAAACGATTATTATGATACATAGAGAAATAATTGAGAATAAAAGTTTTTCTACTAATACAATCTGGACAAATTATATATCAAATAAAAATTTACAACTTGGAAAAGGAATCATCAAAAAATATTACAGGGTGTCCAAATGCCAAGCCTCCCAAATGGGTTCCATATTTAGTAACAACCCTGTACTCAAATATGTGTATAAAAGGTTTGAAATATCATATATTGCTTACAATATAGATGAAACTAATTATTGGTAGAGAATAAATATTAATTTTGAAATAATATTTTTTGCTCACATTATACGCATATTACGCCCCGTATAGTACGCCTCGTTATATTTTTCAGAAAAATCACTTTTTTCTCAGATAATCCGCTGATTATACTCGCATATTCAGGGTAATTACTTTGTTTTACCATATATATAATAATTACAAACCACTAGATATTATCACAATATCTGTAGTAATGTTAAAACTGGCATTCACATAATTTAATCACCTTACACAATTAATAATACTTTATCTATTACCATAATATGTACAGTACCGGCATATTATACTGAATTAAAAATTGTTCTCGTGTGCCATTATTTAAAGAATTTATTTTTAAGTTATTTTAGATTATTCCTTTAAAATTCTAGCAAGTAAATTATAAAATATTCATTTATGGATTAAACTCGAATTCTTCAAATAAAGGCCCAAGCACCAAATTATTAATTCAATTTATAGCTACAGTATTACTATTGTAGAGAATTTGTCCTGGGCTTTTCTGATGTAGGCATTACTAATTGTACATGATACTCACTTTCCCACCACTTTGATCTAAGTGTTAATAGGTGCTTGTTATTAACACTGAAAAATTTATAAAGGTTTCGCCAAAATACTTCAAACTCGTTGTGTCAAATTTTATATTCGTTAGTATTGAGCTAGATTAAAACAATTTTTTTTGCAACTATGGTTTTTTGGCACGATAACGTCGTTATGCCAACTTTTACTCAATACTCAAAGGAACCGTAGGGAACGGTAGTTTTTAAAAATCTTAAATTACTTTAAAAAATTATCCCAAAATTTTAAGTTTTGATTTTTGGATTTGATGCACAGGGTAAATACCAAAAAACTAATTAAAGTTTTTGTTTCAATAACTTTTTTTTTATTTAGTGAAAGGTATCAAAAAAAACTAAATTCTGGATTTCACAAAATTTTGTCTTGTTGATTTTTAAATAAATATTTTAGTTTAAAATTTGTACATTTTAAATCCATTTATCTTAGAACTGGATTAATGAATCAGGATAATTCCAAATGGGTTCGAAAGGTCTTTCAAACTGCTAAAAATAGTTTCCTTGCAACCAGGCTGTAATTATTATGCCTTGCATTCTATCACAGGTATAAATATTTTCTATGTATTTAATTAACGACAGGTTTTATTGTTTTACATCTTTACCTGTATAATGAAATTACATAGAAAATATTTATACCTAGGATAGAATGCCAGGCTTAATATTTACAGCCTGGTTGTAAGCAAATTATTTTTAGTATTTTGAAGAGCTTTCCAACCCATTTGGAATCATTCTGATACATTCATCCAGTGCTATGATAAATGGATTTAAAGTTTACAAATCTTAAAAGGAAATATTTATTTAAAATCAACGAATATTATTATAATTAATATTTTGCGAAATCCAGAATTAAGTTTTTTTGATATTGACCCTGAACATCAAATTCAAAAATCAAAACTTAAAAATGTGGGATATTTTTTAAGTAATTCAAGATTTTTAAAAACCAACGTTCCCTACCGTTCCATTGAGAATTGAGTAAAAGTTGGCATATCGACGTTATCGTGCCAAAAAAACAATAGTTGCAAAAAATTGTTTTAACCTAGCTCAATTCTAACGTGCTGTATATAAAATTTGACAAGTTTGAAGTATTTTGGCGAAACTTTTATATCAGTCAATCCGAACTCTGGATAACTAATAAGTCTTGACTTGTCTTAAAAACCCGAGTTTTAATGCTATTAAACAATATTCAAATAGTGGGTATTTATTTTATCTAGTAATTAATATATTGATGATTTTAAAATGCTATTGAATTATAGGCCGATTTGTTGGAATTGATAGCATCTGTATTCCGTCGACTCTCGGCCCCACCGACCCGTACATCAGAAATAAAGGCCACGTCTTGAACATCACTCAAAATACTTTATATTTTGTAAACTATTTCTTTCACATTTGTATACATTTTACAGTATATTACATTCATTATTAATTGAATATTAATTGTTTATTATAAAATGTTCACAATTCATTCAAAAATTTTAACAATAATTTATTATAATATGGTTTTATTTGAACATTCGGTGTCATAAATATTATCATTTTTGTAATTTAAATGAATTTTAAATTTTAACTAAAAAAATATTAATACCGGGCAGGATGTTTATAAACATATATGACATTATTTACTTTATTATTATACTACTAATTTATTCAAATAGTACCTTGCAACCATGTGTAATACTGCAGAGTGGAGAAAGATGATTTAATAACATTTAACATGAATTATTGTTATTTATATGTAAAATGCATTTTTGGTCAAACAGTCACATAAGAGCAATGTTGAAAGATACTTTTTGAATAAATGATATTGACTTACTCAATTTCCTTATTCTATATAAGTTAGTTAGTAATAATTTTGTTCGTAATTTTGGTTTGAAATATCATTTACTTTTAATAAGCAATTAAATATTAATTTCATTATGTATTAAAGATACAATTTTAAATAGATTGTAACTCATTGACATTATATACAATATAAGGCAGTAAGTTTCAAAAATAGGTAAGGTAGCATTCACATTTAGTAATGCTATAAGTATTACTATTTGTAATAATTTGTAATACGTGGAACTGGCTGTGATTATACTATAAGGTTTTAATTAAACGCAAATTTAAAATGCTATTTAAAATAAATACAAAACAATAGATAAACTGAAACGTTAAGCGAATAATATGACGTATAGATAACAAATTGATTGATTGGTTGTGATTAGTGTTGGGAATTGAGAAAAGCTGTGAATCCAAGAATGAGAATAAATGCCGAATAAGTGGTAAAGTGCTGAACGATGGCATTCCTCTGCGGTACGACAAACTGCATGTAATTGTTTCTAATGCTTATGATTATGATCTGCAAAACACTGGCCGAAGAGACGACACTGAGAATGAGGGCTGAAATGCGTTTCTCATTGGTGTCGACAAAGAGGATGTGATCAAAGGCCACAACAATGAGGAATCCGAGGGCCGGCAGCAGAGAGAAGGAGAAGATGGTGGAGACGGGCATAACCTTACAGTGCGTTCGCTCTGCGATCTCACAACTGATGGCCAAAGCGGTGACTATTTTGTTGAACACAATCACTGCAAATGTGATGACAAGAGTGTGGAAGGAGTCCTGCGATGAGATGATGAGTCCCTCGAGGATTGTGAGCACCGGCATAGAGTTGGTTGCCGTGAGTTGAGGCAAAAACACTTTCAAGCCATCGTCCGGTGCGCTATAGTTGGCCTTCCAATAGGACGGCAATTGTGATGATTGGGATGTAAGGGAAGTGTGAGAGGACAGGGATGTGGTCTGCAATGACTCGTACGGCACACTCAACATCTCAAGAGAATCCTTAAGCTCTTGGCTTCGCTCGAAAGTGACGTTTGCTTTGTTGGCTCTGTTATTGTCTTTTGCGGCGCCGGTATCTGTGGACGAAGTGTTGGCAAAAGAGGTCACTTCGGATGTCTTTCGACTGCAAGCTATCAAATAATGTCGCGTTTTATTCAAACGATAGCTCAGAGACTGTATGTCGTCTGACATTTGGTTCGTGTATATAATGTTTGAATTACTACTAAACCAGTAGTACTTCCTATACTTAAGACATGTCTGAACAAACTCTTCACAGAAATAGATCGCAAAGAATGACAAACAGATCATAAGCTCTACAAATGGTATTCCTCTGTATTGGGATGAGTTGTCGACGACCAGATCCGTGCGAAGCAATACTAAACTCTTGACCACATTTGTGGCACTCATTTGCAGAAAGAATAGTTGAAATGTTTGTCGCGAACGAGGGATCAGTTGAAGGAATAGAGAGCCTATAAGTAGTCCACAATTGAATGACCGCAACAACTCTATCGTCACATTATGCACAACACTGTCTTCATGATCAGCACCAGTGCCACCACCAGTGCCACTGACACTGGTATGCGACCACTCATTCACTTTACTCTTTAATTTGCTTCTCTTTCTCTTCCGCCAAATCAATAATATAGTCGACGGAACTATTGATGCCATCATCGATATGACCACAAATAATATGCACAACAAAAGTGTCACAACTAATAAAGACATCATACCATCACTTCCTGACGTGTGTCCTTCACTTGTCTTTACAGATCATACAAATAGTGTCCATAAGTGTGGGACACGAGTCCGTGACAGTGAGTTGTAGTGTACTGTAGATGTGGGCATATCTTTCAAGTTTAAAAACTTTCTCAAATTCACACCAAAACCTTTTGACATCACTGACAGCACTCACATCACTGACTGACTTACAGTTATTATACGGTACACGCATTCAAGCAAATTGTCTTTACTCTCAATTGAGTTAAAACTTATGAATATTTGTTTTATAACTCATAACACATTTTCCGAATGACTAACTCATGCAAAAGTCAATGAAACAATTATATGATTACGATAAATATTTTGTGTCTATTATAATCATTATTATCAATAATTACCTTCTTGCAAATACTATACACCAAAACATCAGATATTATCTCAAAGTTTATACTTAAATATCTCAGTGTTTAACACAAAAATAATGTTATAATTTATAATTAAATCAAACTCTGATAACAAATTAACATTTCTATTCTCAGTTATGTTCAAAATTGATTGAATTGTAGATGATAAGTTTAACCATGTCTACCTAACAAATGCATGTATGACTGTGCACTCCATTTGGTGAACCACTTTCAACTCATCCAACTCTTGTAATCCAACAAATATTCAATTATTGCTACATTTTAATCATTCTTAACATTACAATACAGTATAATAAATAGCATAATATGTACTGGATATGTTTAATGCTCTTTACAGTATACCTGTAATCAAATTTTGTTAATTCTAAGGTTAGTTCAAAATAAACTGTTTCATCATCCCATAGTAGTGTACCGTATACTGTACAATAAGTATTAGTCATATTGTATGACAGTAATCAATATTAATAGTAATGTGTTAGTAAAAACAATTAACAATGATTACATATATGGACAGTAAGTTGATGGTTTCATAGCAATCTAAATGGATTATGAATGGATGAAAGTGCAACATACTGTACCTACCAATCATACCTATCATATTGAACTGATTTCTGAGTCTCACTACTGTGTGTAATAGCGTGGATATGTTGGGGACGACTCAGGGATGGTTTAGTTGTGTTAATTGTATGTTATCTGTAAATCATTTGCTTGACTGTATGACTGGCCATCCATGAAGTGAATCGCTAATCACTCGAGCAATTAAGACTCAAATTAAAATTATTTTAAATGCAATACTATTGCAAACTGTGTCTGTATTTGCATTCTTGTAATTACAGTGAAAAGTCATTAATCAATATTATAATGAATTGGAAGAAAACAAAATTATTTCCATTGTTTTCACTCGACTTATCTTTGAAACCAAGAGTTCATTAATCCTTATATTAGTCAATGTTTGGCACCAAAACTCGCAACACGTTTGCTGTCAATCAACTCAACACTATTCCCCTCATTGTTTCCATAGCTTATCGAACATTCATTGAATCCAAAGTCATATTCATATTACTGTACTGTATATGAGAAAAGCACTTTACAACAATTATAACAATATCTAAATGCAATGATTCTAGAGTGACCAGGGTCAAGTATTTGAGGGTCCAGTCAAGGAACAAGTAAAGGGTAAATACTTGGCAAGGTCAAGTATTTGCAAAATTGATATAATATGATATAGTCATCAATTTAGTTCCAATTTATCATCTTTTATTTATATTCATATATCAATTTACAAGTTAACCAGGTAATCAGTTAACATCATCTTTCACTCTAAAAATAAACTCTAGGAATACTATTGAGAATGTATTGTAGATACTATACCATATAATCATAGCCATTTGTGTTTATAAATCACAGTTATATCAATGATACAGTACAATTTGAGGTCCACCATTTATCATACTCACACATATGTTTCAATCATTTCAACATTTTTATAAAAGCACCGGTAATCGCTTATTAAAATATATTTGTTAAACACAATAAAACTAGGAATTAAATTTGATAGCATCATACCATATTAAGTGACACTTCACCAAATTATATCCAGATACATTAAACAGTGTACTAATTGTTTAAAATTGATGATGATAACCTCATAAATTGGCGATAAACTGATTGCAAATTTAATTAGTGATGACATGGACACGACTCGAAAAATAAACAAGAACAATGTACATGTACGGCATATTAAATCTTTGAAATACATCGACAAAATAACTCAACTAGGCAATTTCAAATATCGTAATTTGCACTGAAACTGTCATTGAAAGGATTGACAATATTATTATAATAGTAAAGGTAAATGATTCATAAACTTTTTTAGCACTACAAACTCACAGTTGTCATGTTTATCTGGCTGTAATTTGATGAAGTTTACTTAAAAAACATATGACCCTGTTAAATATTCTTATTAATACGGTACTATTTGTTTTGTTTGACCGTATATGGCGAAATGGTATATACCAAAGATCCGCACTAAGTGCTTGACCGTAATTGATCTAGCCACTAATACTGTATTATTAAATGTTAAATGAACGTCTGTAATAAAAGTTTGAGTCATCAAATTGTATAATACAGTATTAGTGACTAGTGATGTGTCGGTCAATTAGGGTCAAACACTGTTAGCTCAGGTCTCGGATATATACTGTAGGGTAACTGTAATACAATACTCGTTGTACGGCATGAATAATAAGATACTGTATGTGCTCTCACATCAACTCATAGATATGAGCGTACAGTACAGCAAATATCATAAATACTATTGTAGTATAAATTAGTATAAATACAATACATTAGAAAACACAATATAAGACACATTGGAGTGCATGAGTGATGCAATGAAGCAAACACTGGCCAACACTGACCAGTGAGACAACGATTGTCATCGCATTTATTGCATACAACGCAATGCATTTGAGCATCAAATGAGTCAATGTCTCGAGTTTTTACGTTTTCTGAGTCCAAAGAATGTGCGCTTCTTTTCCACGCGTCTGTCCTCTCTGTCCTCTCTGTCCCCACAAGTGTTTGTCTGTTGGGCTAAACCTTTATTGGCACCGTTGGCACCCTTTGCATCCATAGTCTCACTGGTCTTTTCATTAGTATTATTATTATTATTGATTAGATGGTAATCACTGGAACCATTGGAAACACTTGTTAGCGGTGGTAATGTTTGCAGAGTTTGCAGTTCACTACACGACTCCGAGTGACATATGAGTGGCAACTCTCCTCCACATTGAGATCTATGGCTCGAGTCTTGGTCTTCACTATAACTCTTAACCATTTTTGGTCGACCCATAGATACAGATACAGAGAGTTGTTGTTTGAGGTCCTCTTTCATACTACTGCTGTCAACAATACAACAATAATTAAGCATTTATTGAACCCATGTCTTCACATTTGATTACCTGTCACTAGGATTGCACTCATTGTCTGTCTCTTCGTCCTCACCAATCATGTCCTCATCATTTAAGCTAACCATTGAGTAGCCTGTAGTACAGTACAGTACAGGGGTACAGAGGTACAGGGTCAGTATTAATTAGTAGTCATCAACTGTTTATATAATTTTCGTATATTTTCGGACAGAATTCAAATATTGAGTCCATGGGATGGGATAGTGATTGTGATAACAACGCACACTACGGTACACTACATACTGTATGGGTTGCTGAACTCGCACACACCTAATCCCTAACCATTACAATAATCAACTCAAATACAAAATTTGCTCATTGATTGTGTAAATGAGTTACAAGTGATGGACTGTTGCACTGACCGCGTAAGTGGAGAGAGTCGTCGTCAACAATAGTAGTCTCACTGCCAGCGTGTGAGAGGCCAATGGGAACAGGAGTGGTGACGGGGGAGCCATACAGAGCCTGTTCTAAGTATGCAATACCGGGGTTGTGCACAATGGAGAAGCCGCAGTACATCTCGATGTGTTGCCAGCGCTTCACTCTTTCCTGTAGATCTTTAGTCACTTCGGAAAGGGCTGTCTTGGCCTCGAGGATGCGATTGTCCACGTCGTCAATGGAGTTCCCGTGCGCCACACGAAACGCACCCAACAGGGAGGCCCTCTTCTTACGCAGTTTGTCGCACTGCATGAGTACAGTATATCACATGAGTATATCAACAACAATGAGTACAATGACAGGCAATACGGACCCCCTCTTTGGCGGCGTATAACTGCAACTCTGCGGCACAACGTTTGGCATTAAAAGAGCGGATCTCGAGCTCGTGTGTCAATTGAAGCCACTGTTGTAACGACACGGGAGGCGCCCATCTGGACGACGACACGCCTGCGTTCTGCGCTCTCCGCAGCTCTTCGTTCACTCGCTTTAACTGGTCTTCGAGTTCAGATATACGCCACACCTCTGACAGTGCCGTATAAGAGGCAGACCTTTCGATTTGAGACTCATTTTCCTTCAACTTCTTCTCCAAATTCACTTTTTCCTTGACAACCATCTGCTGCTGTTGTCGCGTGAGGTCGAGCTCTGTCTGCAGTCCCATGAGTTGCTCTTCGGCTCTCTGCAAGCTATCCATATCTGCCATCATTTTCTTGAGGTGCGACTGCGAGTACTTGTGCTGAACGTATGCGAACCAAACGCCTACTATAGCTATAAGCAGTGAACATATGAGCAAAACATCTTTCAGATAGTTGTGGTGTTTGGGCGCTCCGAACAACACCACATCCATCGCCTTCAACGCCAGCTTTTGCTTATGAATTGGATTATTGATACCAAGAATCGCCATAAACTGTGTATTGGCGGCCAGTCTTTCCAAATCAATTGCAAGTCAGTGTGAGTGCAGTGTTGGGGTCAACGGGACATACCTGGGCAGAGCCAGTCCGTCCACAGCATTGTTGGCAAACGTGTCCACATATTGAGGCAACTCTACCACATCGCACAACCACTCCCTCGTGTCGTCGACCGTCCAGTTCCTCACCGTCGAAGACTTCCACGCCCTCCACAACTCGTCGACAGTAATGTGTTTGTCGTTGCCGTGGAATGCCTTCTGTCTGGTCTCGTATCCGTTCTCGTACTTCAACTCGTCTCTCAAGAACTAACAGTAATCACCACTTATTACAGTCATTGCACTCATACACCACTCCACCACACAATCCATGCAATACCTCATTGCTCTCAACCACATCCACATCGCCATCGCCGTCGTCGTCCAACTGCCGGTGCAGCCATGAGATCGCCTCAAAGCCCAACACATCGTCGCAGTAATCCAATTCAGCACAACTCCAGACATCACCACCACTGCCACTGCTATCACCACCACTGCCACTGCCATCACCACCACCGCCACCATCGCACGCACCCGTACCACTGGCCATACATGTGGTGGTTGGCCACAAACCTGTTCATGTGACGGCACATTCACTCGTGAGTGAGTGGTATTGTGTAATACTGGTCATGAATAACATACCCGATGGTTGTGGTGACTGACACACTATAGTGGGCACCGGTAGCAGCAGTATCACTGTGACTGTGAGCGCAAGTGCTGGACACCAATCAACCCACTGTTTGTCTGGAGTCAACATATGTGCCATTAGTTCACTGACAGCAACACTATCTCTATCTCTAAATCACAATCTCATTACAGTATCACTAATACACTGATGAGTTAGATATCATGTAAGATAGTGTGGTCACTGAGTCACTGATTGTGTGCTAATCATTGGCCGTTAATTATACAGTAATTGTATAGTAATGGCAAACCTCAACAAATCACTGTCAAAACAGTGCTGTTGTGTTGTTGTTCAGATACATCACGTGATTCAACATACAGTACACTACCTGTGCTAGATACTGTACAGTATACGGTCATATACAGAACTGTACTGTACGCTTTTAATACAGTAGTTTACTAAATACAGTATATTAATAGCTAAATTGTATACTGTACATTATGATGTATAATACCCATACAAACTATGATACCTAATGCATAATTATATTTAATATTTAATTCACACCAAAACACTGTACAGTATTAATATTTGAATTGACTATTCCAGGTGGTTGTCAGGAAATTAGGTTGGTAAGCCAATTATTGTGGTTTACAGTATTAATAATCGATGCTCATTCATCATTGAAGGTAGTCAAATAATTAAATTTAGCACTGTATTGATTGTACTTGGTTATACAGTGAGACAACATTTCTGCATTAGACTTACTGTATGTCAGTGTGTGTTATCATTGACTGGCATTCAGTGGATGTGTTTGTATAGTGAGTGTAGACTGTAGTACACGAGCCATACATAGACTGAAGGGCTGCTGTGGTATTGATATTGTATAACATGTACTGCAATACAGTATAGCCTTATATACCGTACAGACTGTACACTACTGTCTGTTATGTCGTCGTTGTGTTCACACTTGCAGTGAACCACTGAGTGATCAGTGAATCGGTGAATGAGCTGTTGATTGCCATCACTGGACACACTGGACATCGATGGACACGACTGATGGCAATGTGGAGTATGTGTTGCGGAAGGGCAAGAGGACCAGCGCTTCCTTCTTGAGACGCGAGTGTCTCAACCCGTCTGCCACTGAACCCAGTCGTCAACTGTTGCCACAAATCTGTTGCGTTGTCTTTGATGTCCGCAAATCCATCGCCGATTGGGATACCATTGACTGGATCTCATGGATGATCGCTGGCGGCACCACTCCTGACGAGTTCGCAGTGGAAGGTATGCATTGGTCACTGACAGACCGTACAGACATACAGACACTAATGGTGACACTAATGGTGACACTAATGGTGACACATTTGCTGGTGTTTGCAGTGAAGAAGTACGACAACGCGACCAAATGCGGACTCGTGTGGACGGCCAACTTCGTGGCGTACCGGTGCCGCACGTGTGGTATCTCCCCCTGCATGTCGTTGTGCGCCGACTGCTTCAAGAAGGGCAACCACGACGGCCACGACTTCAATATGTTCCGCAGCCAAGCCGGTGGTGCCTGTGATTGTGGCGATGACTCCGTCATGAAGGTACCATCCATTCATAGCATACCACATATGACATGACACTCACCACTCCATCCCCCACAGGAACAGGGCTTTTGCGTCTATCACGGCTCTAAAAGTCAGTATGACGTCCCTCTGCCTCCCGATGACCTGTTATGTGTGGCCACAGCTATAATGCCTCGAGTCATACAGCGACTGATAATGCATTTACGCAAAAACAATATCGACGGTAATGTTGGCATATTGTGCCCATTGTGTGAGCGCTGTCTTAACGTCCATTTGGACTCTTATGTTGAATAGCAATGGATGAGTCGGACGTCTATATCAAGGATTTACTGTTAAAGTTGACGGAAATGGGGGCCGCTATGAGGGCTGTTTTAAGCCAAGCGCTAACTGATCCCAATTATTATTCTAGTCTGGCATTAGGTGTGATTCTTTGAATGTTTATCGCATTTATAGCCATATAATGTACTGTAACTGTTATAACGGGTGTGTTTCCATTGATTACAAAGGCTGTGATAATAGTGATACGGAGAGGGCTGACCTTATGGTACAACTCAATGACAACTATAACTCAGCCAAACGCTCGATGGCTCACTTCAGAGTACCCGTCGATTCGGATGAGTTTAAACTGGTGTCCAGTAAGTGAACTGTCAAATGAGTGATTAAATTGTCATTGAATTGATCCCTTCATTGCAGACATCATCTCTTTTCAAAACGAATTAATTCATAAAACATTTCTCGAAGAACTCTTGTTTTGGACAATAGTGTATGAATTTCCTCAGAAATTGGTTTGTTTTTTGTTGAATATGTTGCCCGACGAGAGGTATAAGGTATGCTGGATGTGCTCATTGCTCACAAACGGTTCATTAGTGTAATAGTATTACTCTTGTGTTGATCTGTAGGAAGCGTTTGCCCAGACTTTTGTCTACCACTACAGTCGCATTAGTATAATGTTGTGTCACTCACGAGGTGTGGAGCGAAGTTCGCGATCAAAGGACAACCAGAACGACATTCTGTCCAATTGTGTGGTCCACGTGTCGGTGCAACTGTTCAGTAATGAGGAGTTGGCCACCAAGTTGTGCCAAACCACTCAATTGCTTTATGTGATAGTAATTAGTCTGAAATACCCGATCGAAGGGTGCGCTCACGAGACCGAAGACATGTCGGGAATCCTAATGTCGAACCCAATGCAAGACCCCAAGAAGAACGCACATAATGTCGTGCGATGTGATCACCAGATACTCAAAGAGCACTGGTATTGGCCTATTGTCAGTGACCTCAACAATGTGCTGACACACCGACCTGTGGCCCAAATGTTTATGAATGACTGCGCGCTTCTGGACCTGTGGCTCGAGTTGATAATGGCTTTCCAGGGCATGAATCTGAACCATCGCGAACTCAGCGAACACGTCGAGTACGAGAACAACGCCTACTACTCGGCCTTCAGTGCAGAACTAGAGATATGCGCCACTCCTATGTGGACACTCATCTGTCACCTCAAAGACTCGGTAAGATTGACCGTCAATACACTCATTGCCTTACTATCACTATCTCATGTCGACCCCTATGTTAGGAATCGGCCGAACAGTGCATTCAAATTATAAAACACGTAATGCATTGGTTGAACACATGGTTTGAATTGATTGCTTTCGATAAAGATGACATTCCTAACCCCATGCAGTCCACATTTCACATCCCATTGCACCGGTATCTCTCAGTGTTCATACAGCACGCCGTGAGCTACCAGAACGTGACACTGGAGCACATCCTTCCGAGTGAAGAGTCACTGAAACAACTATTGGCTCATCCCTTACAAACTTTGGTCTCATTCTATGAAATTCTTTGTGGTCTTTGGGTTAGAAATGGAGTACAGATCAAAGGACAAGCCATGACATACATTCAGTGCCACTTTTGTAACTCAATGGTCGACTCGGATCTCTTTCTCATACAACAAGTGGCCACTCATGTGGACTCCGATTGGTTCATTCAAACTGTGTTCGAGAGGTTCATATGACTGAACACTTGAGTGATTGCATTAATCCTATGACACTATCACTGCCGTAGATTCCATGTGTGGGACTGTCTCTCACTGTCCATAACCGATACGAGCGCTTACAAGGGATTCCTCGAATCTGAACAAATTCTGCCTATGCTTGAGTCGGCCCTCACACACATCGCAACCCTGCTGTCGGTGCACAACAATCTCGGAATGACTGAAGAACAGGTGACTCGCAAAGAAATGGTTGCCCTTTTGGCTATGGGAGACAAAACTCATTCGCAACTATTGGATCTGTTGCCCGAGAAGTGTGGCACTCAGTCCTCACAGAACGCCTACTTTGAGTCAACTCTCAATAGGATCGCTGAATTCAAATCACCCAACGTTGAGGTCGGCGGCAGTCTTGGTATGCAATGAAACGAACCTATTCTATGAATGGTTGTCATTATATTGATTGGTGTCTCAGTTCAGGGCCAGTTCTATCCTAAGGCTGAGGTGTGGACTAATGAATACGATCCCATTCACGTCCTTTTAAGAGCCGTCCACAGAAGGGACTATCAGTCATCGATGGATAGATTCGCACAATTGTATGTTCAATACTGCTATTAATATCAAGTATTGAATTGCTATATCATTGATTGACTTTGCATTGAATCAGTGCCCGACAAAGTGGCAAATTCAAGGCATCATCTCAGCCATGGCCTCCCTTTCACATCCCACCCCCCGTTGACAGCAATAAGTTTGTAGACCCAAGAAAACTACTTCACAGCAAAGTATTGCACGGAATTATATTCACTATTCTATATAAAGTGAGTACTCCTACCATTTGTACAACATTTATGCACCATTTGATTCAATTGATTGCCACCATTTTTCCAATAGGCTGTCTATTGTCACGAAATGCCCGATCAAATTCTGGCCCTCACTATATATCTGTTAGATATGGCAATCCGTTTCCCATCTCCCGTCTCGTCAAGCAATGAGTCGATGCCGATGCCGGTGCCGGTTCCCAATGAGGTGCATGACCTGCAATTCAGTGAATGGTTTGCCTCCAATTGGATTATGTCTAGTCTTATAACTCCAGTCAAGAGCGTTAAGTTACCAGAAAGACGCGCATCGCTTGACGGCGCCGTCGAAGAGATGGATATCGACCAACACTCAGACGATAGTCCACAAGAGGACCAATTCATGAGTGATGAGGACGAGCAGCCCTATGAAGTGCACAGTCCAGCCACCAGTGAGCCGGGAGAGGCTCGTAGTCTCGAGTCGTCTGTCCAAAGGCCACAATTGCCTACCGTATCAGTGCCTCTGGCGTTACTGCCGCCGCCCAACTCGACCACTGCTTTGGTTCCCCTTCACTTAGAAAGTCGTCAAATGACTGCAAACACAAACGTTATTCACTCCAGTGATCGATCGCGACTTGTTAGCAGTGATACAGTCCCTGAAACCGGTGTTACCAATGCTTCAGATGATATGTCAGTCGTGGCCTCATCTATAGGTCCCGCGAGACTTCGCTCTCGTACTCACCGTTTAAGACCCGTTCGATCGACTGACCAAAGGATGGTGTTATTGAGTCGCCGACGCTTGGGACGGGTGTTCGACTCGACTAGCAATCAGTCGGCAAGAATGGAGTTGAGTCCCACTTCCATGTGTGCCAACCCTCACTTAGGTGTCAATGAACTCATCAGAGCTCTGCCTCCTTCTGCTGACGTCTCACTCCCTATTAATGAGACAATTATTTCATTGCTTATTAGACTTCATTCAAAACTTAGTGGACGACCCGACTCTTATAAACCAACCAAAAGTGATCAATCAGTTGACAACCGCGTGGGCGACGGCCCCTTCTTTATTGAACAATTGCTAAATCAATTCATTCAGTTGAATGTCACCGGCGAAGACATTATTAATGATATTCGCAGTAAAATTTGGACAAAACAGACACCAGAAAATCAAAGCTTTGATAATAATTGTCCTAAAAGTGAGGACTTAGACCGAGAAGAGCGCAGACGTAAAGCTCGTGAACGACAACAGAAACTAATGGCTGAGTTCGCGTCCAAACAAAAGGCTTTTATGAAGAATATTGAGAATGAAATCAATTGCAATGATTGCAACGATGAACACATGGCCGGCAAGTCGACCGACACTTCATCTGCAGATTCGAGTCCATCATTGCTTGAGTCTAAGGAATATGAATGTGTGATATGTGGACAAAGTGGGCCCACAACCAACAACCAGCTCTTTGGACAGGTAGTTCTCCTCCAGTCGACCAGTGTTTTGGGTCACTCTTGTGTTGGCGACACTAATCCCAAACTCGCCAACTCTGAGGAGGAAGTGGTGAGTCTGCAAAACGTGCAAACTTTGGCCAAATTTATGGAGGAGCGCATCGATGAGATGGACAACTATTTCGATAAGAATTCTTGGCTCAACTCATTCAACATCGGTTGGGTGGGAGGCGTTCACGTGCAGTCTTGTGGCCATTACCTGCATATTGATTGCCACAAGTCTTACATGCAATCCTTGCGTGGAGTACAACAGGTGCACAACCGATACGGCATAGAACAGGGAGAGTACTCGTGCCCCCTGTGTCGCCAAATGGCTAACAGTGTTTTGCCAATCAATCCAAGTATGGGTGAAATCGGTGCTATTGTCAAGTGTCGACCCAATGATATCAATGCTGTGGCCCTCGAGATCCGTCATTTGCTTTGCAATGTCTCTCATCCAGACTCGGAATTTCTCAAACTATTAGGTAATGCCGTCGAGGACTTGACCAAAGCAACCGGTCCTCAGTACCGAAACATCCGGGTCTCGCCCAGCCATCAGAGCTTATTCTTGTTTCTGTGTTCTATCACAAGAACTAATCTCGAAGCGGATCTACTCATGAAAATGAGTCAAAGCAGTGCCTGCGGTGCCAAAAAGTCATGTTTTGGTCAGTTGTCTCTCATTTTATAGTTTATTACAGATCTAATTGCGCTCTCATTTCATTCAATAGTGCCTTTGTTTCATGTGTTGGCTTTGAATGCAAAGGTTGTGATCACTACCCCTTATGACAACCTGTGGTGTCAATTGACTGGACTGACAGCCGAACAAAATAACTTAAGTCTAACCACTATTGAGAAGGAAGTGCCGCTTTTTCTGAGGGACGTCTCTTCTCTTCTCATTCAAATTTTCTATGCCTTACCTCTCAATGTAGATAAAGGTTTGTATTTTGAACACTATTACGATATACCGTACATTCGGTTATACTGTACAGGTATTAGATTACCTAATCATTTCAATTTGTTTGTCTCCCTGTGCTCTGGACTCAGCATACTTCACAACTGTAGTGCAGACTCTCATGAATCTGAGACTAATGCAGGCATTGGCTCAGTTGTCGGCTCTTATGACTGAAAGCCAACGAATACAACTGAAGGAACATTCACTCGAAACACATAACACTTATATCCGTGACTTCAATGTATTGACCATTCAATTAGCTTTTATTATCGATCACTTGGAGTGCAGTTCTCTTTACCATAATCTAGACGACGAAACCCACACAATGGTAACACTCAGTCAGTCAGTGAGCAGTCAGTTATTTATTGATTTTATTTCTAGAAGAATAAGTTTTGGTCCGATAGTGAACTCGAAGACGCTGTCATCAACTTATGTCTACCATTCCTGCGGTTGGCTTCCATGCTATCTCATCATCTCTATAGCGAATCACTTCCCACTTTAAGTGATAATAAGAATGAAGAGTTCAATAGTTTGGTCCGTTTCTTGTCATTGGGCCCAATGTCGAGCAATAACTGCAATCAACACAACTCACTCACTAATTGTTTGAACTGGACGTGCGAACAGCCTAAGCAACTGGTGCGCACCTGGTGTCAAGAATTCACAAACTTTGCCTCTAATTCATTGATCGGCGCCCGGGTATTAAATACTAAATAGTTTGATCTCAAAAGTGGATATTTATTATAACTTTTAATTGATTCTCATTTACAGAAACTGTTAAGAAGTCCTCCACTGGTGTGGAAGAGACCGTCACTCCTACGACTACCGGCTCTATACGATCAGCTCTTTATGTTCTATCATCAGAGGCAGTGCCGCTTCTGTAGTAAAGTGCCTAAAGACCCGTCCATTTGTCTCATTTGTGGCACTTTGGTCTGTATGCGAGAAAACTGTTGCCGTTCAGAGTCTTGTTGGGAAGCAGTCTTTGTATGTATTGATTGTTTTACACTGTTTTGCATTCATTTATCATAACTATTACCGCTATTTTGTAACCTCATAATCGCTTAGCACTCAAACATCTGTGGCGCGGGAACTGCCATTTATTTGGCCTGTAATTCATCGACAGTGATTGTGATCCGAGGAAAGCGCGCCTGTGTTTGGGGTTCAGTATATTTGGATCACTTCGGCGAAGAAGATCGTGATCTCAAGTAATGACTCATTTATAATGAATATTTTGATTGAGTAATGAATTGATTTGAATCTAATTGATGACAGACGCGGAAAACCTCTTTATCTAAGCGAACAGAGGTATTGGATATTAGAGCAGCAATGGCTCACTCATAGCTTCGATCACACCAACAAGCGGTGGGTCCTTCACAAGGATATGCTATGAATATATCAATAGTCATTGTAATCAATTGGACAACACATGACCGAATGGTGCCATTCATTCTGACAACTCTCCACAAATTGCTTACATTTTTCTTGCAATACTTGAACTGATTTTCAGTGTCCGACCCATTCTATAGACTGAGGTGTTGTTAACTGTTGACTGTCTGTCTTATAAATTGCATCAAATGGAGGCAACTGTGCGATTCGGACCACCAGACTATGAGAGCATTTAGCAAAATGACAATTAACTTGAAATAATGTGATACAATTCCCATTCAATCATTACACAAACTGTCATATTTTCAATTGTATGCATAAACTATTAAAATTATCATTACAACTATTAAATAACTAACTTTTCGTACTTTTATACCGTTACTGTATTATACAGTTTTGCTCACTTTACAATATCTCCAACAATAATATCAGTGCAATTCATCTCATTAGAAATGGTGTGTAAACTCTTATGAATGTACGGTAATCCTGATCCAGTTGAATGTTTTGATCAATAATTCTGCAATTAATTTCGTTATCGATTTACGATTAATTGATTTCGTAATACTGTATTAGTATCAAATAAAACTTATGATAAACATATGGTATGGTATTAAGGTATTGTATTTCTAAATTTACCAATTTAATAATAGTATTACAGTAGACATACTAAATTATCTGATATAATAGTACAGTATCATTTATTAAAGTATCGTATAGTATAAATCATGGAATTAATTATTTTTTCCGTTACAGATTTAATACTCTAAAACGGATAATCCAATTATAATCCTCTCTTCACTGTTATATAGCCCCTACTTTGTGGATTGTAAAAATAATTTTTATTGTATAGAAAACTACCATGATAACTGCGCTATTTAAATTTACATAAAAGAGGTTTTTCCATTGAAATACATTAGTTTTGGTCAAAAAATGCATAGTAACAATATTGGTGTTTGTACACTCAATTGATTTCTAAACTGACCTGAATTTATTATTTCTAAAATGAGCGAGTACCTATTTCAGGAATGTTTTATTATAATTATAATTCTTATTGATTACAATTATAAATGTGTAAATTCACGTAAAATTTTGTTTTAAACATTAAATTCTTTAATTAAAAAATTAAATTTAATGTTTATTAAAAATTCCTGAAATAGGTACTCGCTCATTTTGAATTCTCTTTCAAATCCAGTTATTAGATTAATTTTATCTAGTATAGTTTTTGCTGTACAACAATGATTATTCATTATCTTAAACGTGGTGTAGAGACATGTTTTCAGGAGAATAATCAGGATCAAATTCTACAAACTCGCTTTAAATGGATTAATTTTAGTATGGGTAGTTTAAGAATAAATGGAGTTCACAAACACCAATATTGTTACTACAGTATGTATTTTCTATGACAAAATCTAATGTATTTCCAATGGAAAACCCTCTTTTTGCAAACCTAAATAGCGCATTTACCATGGTAGTTTTTATACACTGAAAATTATTTTTACAATCCACAAAGTATGGGCTATAAAACAGTGAAGAGAGGATTATAATTGGATTGTCCGTTTCGGAGTATTAAATCTGTAACGGAAAAAATATTTAATTCCATGATTTTATGTTACTGTATATACAGGTGTGCAAAAATGTGATAAGAACGAAATGAATTGTCTGTAATTTCTATATTCTTGATCGGAAACAGTCATAAGATATATTAAATTAAAGCTAAGAATATAATAAACATTTGAGTGAAAACA